CCATACCACATCAGCACAGAGATGTAATTGTCAATTCAAATCCAATAGTAGAAGAGGTAGTAAAGGTATTAGAAGTAATCGGAGAGGTTAGGATTAGAAGATATTATTCAAGAAGTATGATTTAATGAGAAAAGTTTAGAAAGTCAAAACTAGAGTTGTTGAAGAACCCAGAAGATTAGGATTTGAGAGGACACAAAGCATAAATGCACCGGCGCCATTGCGAACGATTTTGAGCCATGTCATTCAAGGTCTCTAACCATCGATTATTATCATCTCGCGGACCCCAACCAGGTAGTCGACGACTAACGACATGGCTAAGTCCACTCGTCAATGACTTCATGCATTTCTGCCATGTTTTGATTTGGCCACCCCTAACTTTCTTCCAACCTATTCCTACACTACAAAACAAAGCTCGACGAGGCAGTCGGTGGTTGGGCATACGTAACGCATGTCCCAACCACCTCAACTGATGAAGTTTCACTACTTCATCTATTGATTTGCCGTCCCTACCTAGCACCCATTTCCTAACAATAGTAGTCGAGGGCCAGACCACTGAAATAAATTCAGTTTTGAGACCATAGTCACCTTTTCTGTGTGTAAATAATGTTATTCTCATTTTATACTCATTTTTATGAACATAATAGGATGGAATTCATTTCAGAGAACATCTTAAAAATTCAGAATTCTTAATTTTCTTTACTGGATGGTCCGACGTTCAGCAAATACTAGTCAGCCCTCTGACTGAGTTGAATATATTTCTTACTTACTTACTTACTTACTTTCGCCTGTTACCCCCAATGGAGCATAGGCCGCCCACCAGTTTTCTCCAACCAACTCTGTCCTGGGCTTCTTCCTCCAGTTCTGTCCAATGTTTGTTCAGTCCTCTCATATCTTTCTCTATTTCACGGCGTAATGTATTCTTTGGCCTTCCTCTTTTCCTTTTGCCTTGAGGGTTCCATGTGAGGGCTTGTCTCGTGATGCAGTTAGGTGCTTTTCGTAGAGTGTGTCCTATCCACTTCCACCGCTTCTTCCTGATTTCCTCTTCCACTGGAATCTGACTTGTTCTCTCCCACAGTTCGTTGTTGCTGATGGTGTCTGGCCAACGAATACGAAGTATTTTACGTAGACAGCTGTTAATAAACACTTGTATCCTCTGGATGATGGCTTTGGTAGTTCTCCATGTTTCCGCTCCATATAGTAGAACTGTCTTGACATTTGTATTGAAAATCCTTATTTTGGTGTTGATTGATATCTGTTTGGAGTTCCAGATATTTTTCAATTGTAGAAATGCAGCCCTTGCTTTGCCAATCCGTGCCCTCACATCTGCATCCGATCCACCTTGATTGTCGATGATGCTGCCCAGATATGTAAAGGTGTTAACGTCCTCCAAGGCATCTCCATCAAGAGTGATTTGATTGGTGCATGTTGTGTTGCATCGGAGAATTTTGCTCTTTCCTTTATGTATGTTGAGACCTACTGCTGCAGAGGCTGCTGCTACACTCGTCGTCTTCTCTTGCATTTGTTGTTGAGTGTGCGATAGAAGAGCCAGATCATCTGCGAAGTCCAGATCGTCCAGCTGCGTCCTAACTGTCCAGTTGATACCGTGCTTCCCTCCAGCTGTTGACGTTTTCATAATCCAGTCGATCACCAGGAGAAAGAGGAAGGGTGAAAGTAAGCAACCTTGCCTGACACCGGTCTTTACCTCGAAAGAGTCGGTTAGCTGTCCTCCGTGCACGATTTTGCAGTTGAATCCATCATAAGAGTTCCGTATGATGTTAACTATTTTCTCAGGCACACCGTAGTGTCGAAGAAGCCTCCACAGTGTTTTCCTATCCACGCTATCGAATGCTTTCTCGTAGTCGATGAAGTTGATGTAGAGTGGTGAGTTCCATTCAATTGATTGTTCCACAATGATCCGTAATGTAGCAATTTGGTCAGTACACGATCGATCCTTCCGAAATCCGGCCTGTTGATCTCGAAGTTGGGAATCTACGAAGTCCTTCATTCTGTTTAACAATACCCTGTTGAAGACTTTGCCTGGTATTGAAAGAAGAGTGATGCCTCTGTAGTTCTCACACTTGCTGAGGTCGCCTTTCTTTGGTATTTTGATCAGGTATCCTTCTTTCCAATCTGATGGTACTTGTTCCTCATCCCAAATCTTCTTGAAGAGGATGTGAAATATTTTCGCGGTTGCTTCTACATCTGCTTTCATTGCCTCTGCTGGAATGTTGTCTGGTCCTGCTGCTTTGCCGTTCTTGATTTGTCTGATGGCCATACTGATCTCCTCAATCGTAGGTGCGCCAATATTAATTGGGAGGTCCGTGGATGCTGCTTCGATGTTGGGTGTCTTCAGAGGAGCTGGTCGATTTAGGAGTTCCTTAAAGTGCTCTACCCACCTATTTCGCTGTTGTTCAGTGTTGCTGATTACTTTGCCTTCCTTGTTTTTCACTGGTCGTTCTGGTTTACGATAGTTCCCGGCGAGCTTCTTTGTAGTTTCATACAATTGTCTCAAGTTTCCGTCTCTTGCAGCCTTTTCCGCCGTCGTTGCTAGATCTTCCACGTATTTTCGTTTGTCAGCTCTGATGCTCTTCTTCACTTCCCTGTTTGCTTCTGTGTATGCAGCTTGTGCGGTAACTTTCTCCGCTCTTGTTCGGCTGACATTGATTGCTGCTTTCTTGTTCCTCCTTTCTTCAATTTTTGCGAGAGTATCAACAGAGATCCATTCCTTATGATGCTGCTTCTTGCGACCAAGGACCTCCTGACATGTTGAAGTGATTGCCTCCTTAATCCCTTTCCAATTGTTCTCCAATGTTGTGTCCTCTCCATTGTGTAGATCCTGTAAGGCCTGGAACCTATTGGTGAGGGCTATCTTGAATTCGTTGAGCTTTACAGTATCCCGAAGAAAGGCCGTATTAAACTTGTGTGATGTTGTCTGTCCCGTTGTCCAGTGCTTCTTTAGTTTCAGTTTCATTTTGGCGATTAGCAAATGGTGATCTGAGGCTACATCAGCTCCTCTCCTGGTTCTCACATCCTCCATAGTCCTTCTGAACGTTTTGTTGATACAGATATGATCAATCTGGTTTTGAGTAGTGTGATCCGGTGAAATCCATGTGGCTTTGTGAATGCGTTTGTGCGGGAATATTGTGCCACCGATGACCAGTTTGTTGAAGGCACATAGGTTTGCAAATCTCTCACCGTTTTCGTTTCTTTCTCCCAGTCCATGTCGTCCCATGATGTCTTCATATCCAGTGTTGTCCATTCCAACCTTGGCATTCAGGTCTCCCATAAGAATCGTCAAATCCTTTGGTGAACATTTCTCGACGATTGACTGCAGCCTTTCGTTGAATTGATCTTTGTCGTCGTCATTGTAGTCATTGGTAGGTGCATAGCATTGGATGACGTTCATTGTAATGTCCTCTTTCTTTGTTTTGAAGGATGCTTTAATGATCCTGGGTCCATGAGATTCCCATCCTATTAGTGCCTTTTGTGCATGTTTGGACAGCATCAATGCAACTCCTTGTGTATGTGAAGCATTTTCCTCTTCATGACCAGAGTATAACAGCAGTTCCCCTGAAGCTAGTCTCAGTTGTCCTACTTGTGTCCAATGTGTTTCACTGATTCCAAGCACCTCGAGGTTGTATCTTCTCATTTCTGCCGCAACTTGAAATAGTCTTCCAGTCTCCCACAATGTACGAACGTTCCATGTACCTAAAAAAATGGTTGCTCTGGTTGTCAGAAGAGGCATCAGCCCCGTGACTTCCGAGGGAACTCGGCTTTCATCACGCGACGTCATAATTCTTCCTCCAACTCCCAGGGCAGAGTTAAAATGGTTTGAATTATTTTTTCTGGTTAGCGTTTTTTTGGCAAGTTAGTTTTTGACGGAATGGGGTCGCCAACCCCATGTCCAACCCTCCTCCTTTACCCGGGCTTGGGACCGGCAGTAGCCCCGAAGTTTCTACTGGCGGAGTTGAATATATTTCTGATAAAACTAAATAAAAGTATATTCTAAAGAAAACCTGGATTTATGTCTCATAGACGGAAAGTGCCGAAAGAGTAATTATCCTCTAGAACTAATAAACTTGTGGGGACTCAAAAATTTTCGAAAAAATCATTAGGAATCTTGGAGTAAGATTTGGGGGTTTAGCTATCAAGACAACAATCCACTTGCTATAACAAATGTTGTTATTATTCCGCCATAACACAATCACAGTCTTCATTTAGTTACCTATATGTACGGAGGGAGAAATTTCTGAAGACATGATTATAAAAACGATCTAATTTTCGTGGATTTTTATATCATATGCGTTACATACTCATCTTACTATTTAAATTTTTCTTGTTCTGATCACGGTTTTCACAGTGGTTGGTGATATCAAACACTTTTGGCAAGTTCAAATTTCGAAATGTGAAGTTGTAATAGAGTACAGAAATAACATCGAGTTTAATACTAGTTGTTGTTAGTGGACTAATAATTTTCTCAACTATTATTACTTTTAAACTGAGCACCTAATGAAGATTCTAAAAGCGAGGTCACGTAGAACAACCCTTATCGTTTGAACTAATGCAAGCATACCACGTTTTCCCACTGCTAACTGAAATCGGTGTTATACGGCAAAAATACTGAGTCCATAGAATGTGACTGGTGGTTTTAAATACTCAACCAATGACCTGACCAAACCTTCAGGATATACCTGAGGTTTTAGGTTCAAGACGTCCTTAGAGGACATCACTAAAATAACCTATACATTATGGTATGAAACTACTATTGGATCTATATCAAGTTATTAACTGATGCTAGAGATTTTACTTGCTAAAGATTACTAACATCACAAATCTATTATGTACATGCAACCTTTAATTTTGTGGAAAGTAGATTACCAAAACTTAAGTTACTGAGAATGTATGCACACTAATATGATAATAAACTATTCGTTTAGATACATAAGTTACATTACTGTAATTTAGAAATTGACCAAAAAACAGAGGTTTCGGACACTCACATCTGAATAAATTTCATGGGTTCCAAATATTCCGTTTGAATTACATCCATCATGAGTATTGGCAGTTAACTTATGAGGAAAATCAGAATAGCTTTCAGACATGTCATAGTAAAAGTTGTTGTGTTCGTCATCTAAGATAGACAAAATTTTTGTGAAGAGATCGATACTGAGAGAAGAATTGAGGCCAGTTTCACAAACTGCCTCATCTGTTTGAACAGCTACGGATGACATGGGTCAGTTGATAAACCGGAAACATTTCTGTGCAAATATAAGTGAAAGAAAGGTAGGGAAATGCTAACCCGTGATTGGTTGATAGATATATGGCATAGTGTCCGAAAATAAGCGATAAACCCTTTTTGGTGGACTCTGAGAAAATGTTTGTGTGATTTTAAGCAACAAAATTTTCTGGGAAATGTATTTCATTTAGTTTGATCATAACTTCCATTACGCTACTTAGAACCTAGCCAAGATTATAATATGTTAGTAACAATTGAAATAACACTTAAGAGTAAAGGAACATGAAAAATTTAAAGTATCGGTTTGTTTCTTTATTTTAATATCCGCCTATAATACCTTAACGGTGGCGCCATTTTGGTCCTTTTGCGAATAAGGTTAGTTCTGCACATGTGTAGATTTATGTCTGCCTAGGTATATTAACATGATGCGCCCGTTTGTGGATTCGAAGGCAGACCAGGACAAAAAGCTATTCATTGGTGGCTTAAGTCCGAAAACTGATGAGGAATCACTCAAAAGTTATTACAGTCAGTGGGGCGAAATCATTGATGTCGTCGTCATGAAGGATCCTAAATCCCATAAATCCCGAGGCTTCGGCTTTGTGACGTATAAAGATTCTTCTTCCGTTGATGCTGCGCAAAACAATCGCCCGCATGCTGTAGATGGGAAAGAGGTAGATACCAAGCGTGCTATGCCCAGAGAGGAAACAAGCCCAGAAGTTCATGCTGCAGTTAAGAAAATATTTGTAGGTGCCTTGAAGAAAGATGTGACAAATGATGATCTAAGTGAATACTTTTCTCAGTTTGGAACTGTTACTGATGCACAGATTGTTATGGCTAAAGATACAAATACTTCCCGGGGGTTCGCCTTCGTTAGTTTTGATGATACAGACGCAGTAGACAAAATTATTTTAGCTCGACCACACATTATTAAAGAATCCAAAGCAGATGTACGTAAAGCACTCAGCAGAGAGGAAATGAATAAAATGAGGTCGAAACCTCCACCTATGAGAGTAGATTATAATGGTGGTGGCTGGCACGACAATACAAACGGTGGTTTCCAGCCCCAGCCATGGGATCAGGGCTATAATCAACCTTATCCACAACAGCAACAACCCTACGCTTATAACGGGTCAGGATATGGTAAGCATCTTGATATTTGCTAACATTATGCTTAGGTTATGGTGGTTACGATGGAGGTTGCCCTTCAGGTGGTTGGCCTAATAACGCTGATGGGTTCGGTAATTATCAACAACAAGCCTATGGTGGTGGTCCGATGAGAGCGACACCTGCAAATGCACAGTATTCCCGTCCTGCCCCATATGCCGGAAACGGTTGGCAACAACGTTGAAGTTAAGTTTGTTATTTCAAGACCAAACGCCTAGTGCATTTTGACAACTTTTTATCACTTGCTGTAAAATATACAAATCAGTTATTCTGCTATTGCCTTGTACTCCCAGCCGCTTGACGCTAATGTTGAGAAGCTAGTTAGGTCACTTGGAAAAAGATTAGTTATGGGACATTTGCGACTCGTCTCATCGATTCACAGTTGCACTCAATATGGAGAAGAAGTTCCCGTGAGTCACCATGGAGAACTGGACTGTGTTGCAGCAAGGAGGTTACAATCAATTCAAAGGTGGTCAGTAAACAAGGTGGGTTTCAAGCTAGCGATTTTGGATTGCACTAATTCTGTTCTTTAGCAAGAATTAGGTGTCACGTTCTAGAGTTTTCAAGTTGTTAAGTAAGCTGAAAAATTTAGTTGATTAAGCATTAGGAATTGTAGTCTTCAGGTTCATAAGTTAAAGTTTATGTTTAAACGCGCGATTCAACCTGTGTAGTGCCTCTAACTGTCTTAATTTCTTATACTGCTTTCATGTCGTCGAATCAAGTGACAGCGCATTTCATTAGTGTATCCGCCGTTCCGTCATGTGAGGCAGTGACCCTCCTGTCTGTAAGCCACCCTGAATACAAGCTCTCCGAATTACTTCGTTTCAGTTAAGTAAACTTAGAGTATTTCTGTATCGAAACCTAGCTGGTATTAGAATAATTGAAAGCATTTCGTGATTTCTCTAATCAAATGCTTTCGCCATCCACTTGTAGACGGTGAGCTGGACTCCTTACTATCTGGCTTAACGCGAGACGGGTACAATCAATTTTCACACCAACCGACGCAACTAATGAATTCGATGGATTTTCACATAATCTGTGTTTTGTTTAGGGATATTGGTGAATAAAAGTTCTTTGTTTCTACCTAAAAGGATTTTGTTTCATAGTTTTTGAACAATATAACACATGCATTTTGAGAGATTCAAAGCATTCTTTTCTCTCTTAAAAGTAGTGTTTCTGTTATTGTCAGACTACCGTTGGCAATTTCAGTAAATTCTGGTTTCGCACTGTCACATTCATTTGTGAATAATGCTTAAGTGTCTGTTACTTGTCTTTAGTTGCCCAAATCGTACTCATGTAAAAGATAATGATAAGCATTCGCGCCAGCGTTGTGAGTTTTGGGGCTCTATTTAAGGTTAATAATAATTGTCCGTGATTTCTTTATCTGTCGCAAATTAATCTAATGTGCGTAATGCCTACTACATAACTCCGACAGCCTGTGCTCCTATACTTTTGGTTAGTTTGCTACATGGTTCACATTCTGCTCGTGTATATTCAAAACCATTGAGCGTTAAAAGTTAGTACTATTAATGGGGTACTCATTTCAACTGCTTTAAGTTGTAATCATGGCGACCGTGTTGTCAGAAACCGATAGGTAGCAAGGGTTTCAATCATACAAACGATCATTTCACTAATAGTTTTAGAGACATCTCTACCAAAGTTCAATATCCTGCAATACTACATACCCAGCCGTCATGTAAAAAGATTAAATTCCGGAACCTTCATGGGAATTTCACATTTGTCCCCAAACTGAGTATATATTATGTCGAGTCTGAAGTATGAAAAGTAGGTGTGACAGTTACAGTATTTTTACGTTAGTCTAAAACAAAGTATTAAGTCGATCTAGAGATATCAGTTTAGCTGTAACCCGTACATTAAGGCATGCGATATCTAATTATCCATAAGAAATACCTCCATGTAACTGATATGACTGGTCTGCTTCAAAGTATAGTCACGAGGTAAACCGCCTCGATTCGACCTGACAAGTTCCATTCTTGGACCAATATTGTAGTCGCCTTCAGAAGGACTTAAATGATTGTTATGGGTGAATGTTGGTTAGATCTGCCACCACTGAAGTCTCTACTCAAATTCCACGTCTATATTGGCAAGAGCCAATATTTCTAAGGTCTTGCTTTCTGTCTCTTATCGATCTCCAAGGGTTTTTAACTAGCTACTTGCACACAGTAATGTATTTGGGAATATCCCGTCAGGTCCTTTTTTCTGAATATCATCTCGACATAACTAACGACATGTTAATCCATTTTCTTTTTTTTTTGATCAAAGATTTAATCTTGTCAACTTAGTTGCTTACATTCCTAAATGTCCTGCGGATTGGTTCTATTGAGTCAGATATAAAAAGCCTTCCGTTTTCATGATTGTTAGGTTCTGTTTCCCAGCTGGTACAAATATCCACTGTCTTAAGTTGCTACACTACACGCTTCAGCGATTATCAGATCAGGAGATAAAATTAAAGGTAGTTGTAAACTGAGCAAAGAATATATAATTCGAAAGTACCGAGATGGCATGGAATAGCACTTCCGATTTTCAGAAGATAAAGTGAGTAATGGCATGGGACAGTGAAAGCCGTGTCACTTAAGAGCTCTTACTATGGGTTCTAATCATCTCGCGGACCACAAGCAGAGAGTATATTTTGCGACACAGCCAAACACCAAATGATGAGCTGGTCTCCGGTAGGTAGCTTCTCATGACTTTGGTTATCGACTCAGAAACCCGAACACTGTTAACCATACCCATGGGATCGTAAAAGGCTACCAAGTTTTGTGTTTCATTTCTTCTGGATATAACCAAAACTCTTCATCGAGTGAGATGGTCATTAAAGTTTCTACTCACTTCTATTAGATTACCTTGGTCTAGGTATCTGATATGTTTGAAACTCTTTCAGCGATCTCAACTGCTCTACGGATATCTCTGGCACAATGAGCACTACTATGCTCTAGCACTCGATTTAACTATCGGATTGTTGATTTAAATTGTTCTCTACCTACTTGGGTTTACACAACAGAGTAATATCACTAGTCCACAAACGTAGGCCGAGTGTATATGCCTTTGTAAATTACAAGTTTAAATAATTTCTTACCGTTAAGATGAATATGACAGTATCTTGGTAGTTAGATTTCGTAAAAGAAATTGTGCAGATCCCTTACTAACCATAAATCATTTCTAGAAGAATATATAGCACTGTCAGTAGTGTTTATATGACTTATTAATGGGTTTTGTTATCAGCACTCAACTCTCTGATTTAGTTACTTTGTAGATGACATGTCAGCTTTCAAGAAATCGTTGATTCTAGGTACATATATTTGTCTAACGGGTGGCTTGGGCTAAAGTAAATTCTGTTCTTGATAAATTACTGTGATTAATTTGCATCCTGAAATGTAAGTCGTCAGTTATGCAAAAGTAACCATTTCTGGTAAGATGTCCGTGTTTATTCGTTAATTTTAAAAAAGAATACTGTGTTATTAAATTGTTATTGGTGTTTGGAATCCTTCCACATAAATAACTAACGCAAAGATAGTGATAAGTACGGCAATTACTTGTATAGTTAAATGATCGTTGAGGTATTCTTGGCACCGTTTATGGATGAGTCATTTCCCATTTATGTACTCATTGTTTCGCCTGTCCAATTCCGAAGTGAAAGATTATGGATACATTGGCAACTAAGCATGATTGAAGACATTTCTGCCTGTCTTTTATATTTAACATGTCAAACGTATTCTAGAAATGAAAAGATTCGGGTTAAGCACAGCTCTTCAGTTATTATTTTTTAAACAGTTTAGATTTATAAGTTTATGATATCGTGGCAACAAATAGTTTAATTTAGATCATTTGTGAAGGTTTGAACAGTTGATTTATGTGGATATATAAATGGTTATCGAGAGGCAAGATTCAGAATTCCGTCTAAATTAATGAAATTATTTGCCTCAAATATACTTTATTTTAAACGTAAACATTCAACTTCGAAGTCCTGTTCGATCTCGTTTGTGTGGTAATAACAAACGAAATATGAACGTAGACTAACTATCTATGGAAATGATAATAAACCTATAGGTCTTTCATGTACCACAATGTTACAATCGTTTGAAGAAAACGGTTTCTGATTTCAAATATTAATTGCCCATGTATGTTTATTCTGCTTACTAGTGCTCGTAATTTGTTACTCTTGCATAATGAGACCGTGTCTACTGTAGTCCTGACATCCTGAACCCTTGTGTTGTCTATATCATTTAGAAAACTGAATGGAATGTGCTATGTATGACATACTGAAGTGTCATGTACTTTTTAAATGCTACATTAATTGTATTAAAGGCTCTGTGAACTCTTGTTTGCAAGAGTAATGTAATATTGTCAGGGGTTTGAAGATTCTTGACTTTCTTCGTACTCTTGTACCACCACCTGTTTATCGTCTGTCACGGATAAACTGTTCATATAATCGGACTTGATTCAGTGTTATTATGACTTCTGATTTAAAACTAATGCTAAATATGGGATGTAGCAATGATAAAATTATAAATCTGATTCTACAACTGTGCATTGTTACATAGACTTATGGAATAGGCATTCGAATCAGTATCTGGGGTACCCTCGTAATTTATATTTCCAGATAATACCGTATCCTTGAAACAATGTGATATAAAGTGTAATAATAAAGATTGTAGATCTGCAGTAGTCGTTATCACTGCTTTAGACTACCGTAATGCCTAACCCAATGGTCTGTCCAGTTGTTACATCTACACTTTCTATCGTTAGTAACTCACTGACCTCCGGTACCGTAGTACGTCAGTCAGATGCAACGTAGAACTTCGTATGTAAGTACATCAGTTCATGTCGCCATACCACATCAGCACAGAGATGTAATTGTCAATTCAAATCCAATAGTAGAAGAGGTAGTAAAGGTATTAGAAGTAATCGGAGAGGTTAGGATTAGAAGATATTATTCAAGAAGTATGATTTAATGAGAAAAGTTTAGAAAGTCAAAACTAGAGTTGTTGAAGAACCCAGAAGATTAGGATTTGAGAGAACATAGAGAATAAATGCACCGGCGCCATTGCGAACGATTCTGAGCCATGTCATTCAAGGTCTCTAACCATCGATTATTATCATCTCGCGGACCCCAACCAGGTAGTCGACGACTAACGACATGGCTAAGTCCACTCGTCAATGACTTCATGCATTTCTGCCATGTTTTGATTTGGCCACCCCTAACTTTCTTCCAACCTATTCCTACACTACAAAACAAAGCTCGACGAGGCAGTCGGTGGTTGGGCATACGTAACGCATGTCCCAACCACCTCAACTGATGAAGTTTCACTACTTCATCTATTGATTTGCCGTCCCTACCTAGAACTCCTTTCCTGACGACAGCATTGCTTAAACGCTTCTCCCATGATACACGAGCAATGATTCGGTGACATCGATGATCGAAGGCTAGTAACCTACGGAAGTCCTTTTCTGTTAACGGACAAGTCTCGCATCCGTACAGTAGGACGGAGCGAACTGCTGCACAGTACAATCGTCCTTTAGTCAGCAAACGGATATCTCGCCTTCGCCATAAGTTACGCAGGTTGGCAAAAGCCAATCGAGCCTTCTGTATCCGAGCCGAGATTTCGTCAGTCACCAGGCCATCAGTACTGATGAGACTCCCAAGGCAAGTGAAGCCGTCTATACGTTCGACTACTTCACTCCCTATCACTAGTTCAGGTGCCGATGCAACCCAATCTTGAAACAACATTTTGCATTTCGAGGGGGAAAACCGCATACCGAACATACTTGTATTGTTGCTTGGGATGGTCAGAAGACTCTGCATTTTGTCAGCGTCTTCACCAAGTAGGACAATGTCATCGGCATATTCTAATTCGATAAGCGAGCCTCCTGGTAGGAGGTCTACTCCTGAAAATTCAGACGAGGACCATGTTATGTCTAGGAGCATGCCTATGATAAAATTAAACAAGAATGGAGAGAGTGGACATCCCTGACGGACACCACTTGAAGTAGAGAGTTCCGGTGACAGCTCACCATAAGCTCTCACTCGACCAGTGGTGTTCGAGTAGAGAGCCTGTATAAGGTTAATGTACTTCTTTGGTACACCTTTCAATGACAGACACTGCCACAGAACCTCACGATCCACGGAGTCAAATGCCACCTTAAGGTCTAGGAAGACAACTATTGTAGGACGCCTAGATGTGTGTCTGTGTTCCAGGACCCGTCGTAGTGTATAAATGTGGTCTA